TATGAAATTCAATTCACACAAATTCAATTTGGCCAATTGAAACATTTAGATGTGATCAGTAATTCACACAAATTCAGTTAGGCCTATTGAAAAATTTAGATGTGATCAGTCTATAGAAAATTTTGAGTTGGAGAGGTCTGAATTTTTTTTACAGTGTAGTTTATGTCTGCGCAAGTCATTTTCCTCCAGACTGTTTTCTGAATGAGGGACAATTCAAGGCAGGTTTTTGCTAAAAAGTTAAAACTCAAGGATGGGTCTGTACCCACTGTTCGTGATCCGGCTGCACCTCCAGAATAAGTAAGTCTCAAACTTTATGGCCTGGTTTCACAGACAGGGTTTAGATTAAGTCAGGATTAGACCATAGTTCAATTAGGACAATTAAGTAGTTTTTATAAACATGCCTTAGAAAAAAAAAAAAACATTACTGGGGTGCATCTTGAGACATCAATGGCACCGACATATTTTAAGATATGTCAGTTCATGTTTCTTTTAGTTAAAACAGCCCAGACATGCATTTTAGTCTGGGACTAGGCTTAACATGAGGGACACAAATCAAGAATTACACTGAAAATCCCTGCACTTCAGCACTTCCTTCACATGATCCACAAAACTGGAGCTACAGTATGACTTCAAACCTGTTTGGTAGGTATATGCCCTGTAATTCCATCTGCTGTCTTCTAGAAAGTACGATGTACGATCCTATTTTTTGCTTCTTTTGGAAACACTATTTCACTATTTCTACCGAAATTATCAAAAATGTATAGTCAATAGTCTTTTTTTTTTTTTTGTAAGCAATTTTCTAATCAAACTGTGTGTCAGTTCAGAAATAAATTCTGAGCTGTGACAGTACTTTTCATCTTTTATTCACTCAGATTTGACTCAACTCTACAGCGATATGAAGATCCATTTTTTCATTATTATTGCTACACATACATGGTAAGTAGTAGACTTTGTAGACTTGTTTATTGCCCTTTCAGTTTTGTTTAGTCAATCAATTTCTAGTTTTGAACCTGTACAGCTTTATTAAACTTATTAAAAAGAAATCGCCCTGCAGGTACATTAACAAAAAATAAACGGTGTGTGTTTTTAGTAATTGTTTTCATTAAAAAACATTATGCTGTTAACATATGTAAGAATTTGTATAGCACTCTTGACCATAAAGCATAGAGAGAAAAAAAGCAACTCTCTAAAATGTTTTGTAGTGGATCAAATCTGTTAAAAGTGTTGTCATCTCTAGTTGTTTTGTTTGTGTGTGTGAGTGTGTGTGTGTGTGTGTGTGTATGTGTGCGTTTTTAAACACATTTCCTAGTATTTGTGGCGGTGGAAACTTCTGCCTACACTCAAAGGCATTTGCATAGTTTCTTTTTTGACGTCATGGACCATGCTCTGTCAGCTTTAAATGACGCAGTGAATTGTAACAGCAACACAACTAACTACCTCTCAGAGATTTTATTTAGCAGTCTAATTTTTAATTAGTACTGCCCTTCAGAAGCTACATATTTACAAGCTTTCCAGAAAACAAAATAATAGTTTACACCAATCTTTCTGTTCAAAAATGCATTGTGTTTCCTGTTTCTTGAGCATTAGTGAATATTTGCAGCTTTTGTGTATGTAGTTGTGTATGAGGCCTCATCCTCAGTGTATAATATGTGACCCTGGAGCACAAAACCAGTCTTAAGTCGCTTGGGTATATTTGTAGCAATAGCCAAAAATACATTGTATAGGGGTCAAAATTATTGATTTTTCTTTTATGCCAAAATCATTAGAATATTAAGTAAAGATCATGATTGAATCCAAGATGGCGGCGCGTGCACACGCTGCGGCTTCTCTCTCTCCCGACAGAACGGTGTTTTCGTGTTTTTTATCTTGTGAGTCGCAGTGTTTTTGTACTTATTCGTCGCGTCTACCTGTCTCTAAGCGCGCATACAGTCGTGAGTTTCTGCTCGATGTCGGCAGAACCACATTT